GCTATGTGATAAACAGCTAACAGCTGAATGATAAACTGCTAACAGCTGAATGATAAACTGCTAACAGCTGAATGATAAACTGCTAACAGCTGCATGATAAACTGCTAACAGCTGCATGATAAACTGCTAACAGCTGCATGATAAACCGCTAACAGCTGCATTCAGCCTGCATCTGTTGCCACGGTGACCAGAGATGAAATAACATCACTAGTTTGGATAATTAATAAAACTTATGTTTTTACATGAATTTGTTGCAGAAAGCGTCAGACTGAATCCTTTCTGGACAAGCAGTGACACATGTGAATGAAAAACGCAACGCTGTTTAAAATGTGAAGCAGTGAAGTGTGCCTGATGAGTTGTGTAACCAACAGAACCAGACCCAGACCCAGTCTGCTGTCAGGTCGAACCCAGTCTTTATGGACTGAAGTCAGTGACCTTTCTCTGATCAGGCTGTTTAAATGGAACCACGTCCTGCAGCACTGATTGCATCAGTGATGGCAGGAGCTCTTGTGTCAGGGAAGATACAAAATATGATCAGGATTATTTTGTATCTTATTTAAAAAGTAGCCTACAATCTTTGAAACTGGATATTTATTGGTAAAAATAATGTAGTCTCTAAAAAGTTAGTAAATTAAGCCAAGTGATCCGTTTTAGGGGAACCTGCTGCTGATTCAACTGTAGTTTTATGTTGTTTGTCCGGTTCTGGTCCAGCTGGGAGCTGCCCCCGGTTCGGTTCTGCCCGTGGACTCACCCTCTGCCCACGATGAGCCGGAGCGCCTCCAGGTTTCCGTGGTAAGCGGCCCATAAGGTCGGAGTCATCCCGTCCTCGTCCGGGGCGTTCAGATCCTTCCGCGTGGCCTCCTTCAGGACGTCCAGGAAGCCGTCCCGGGCCGCCCGGTGGTACCGGTCGTTCATGGCGGCGCCTCGGCTCGGTCTCAGCTCCGGTCCATGACGGTGAGACCGGTTCGGGACACCGAGGGTCCGGAGGACGAGCTGGAGCCACCGAGCGGCTACTGGCTCTGGTTGCTAGGAGACGAGAACACGGCGCGCGCTGACAAGGCGGAGTTGTGTTTACGGACACGCCTACTTCAGCTGAGTTACGCATGCGCACTTTAATCAAACACAAAAAAATTAGGTCAAAGATTTGAACTAAATTTCACTTTAATTTTTGTTTTACTTTAACCAAATGTTTGACTTTTTAAAATATTATTTAAGTCCAACTGTCATTAAACAGTTTTATTAAATAACTTAAAAATAATTTGTTTTCTATGTAATTTATAATTTTGCCCCTCACAAATCTCATTCCCACTTATTTGTATGGCTCTGAAAAAGTTTAATTATAATTACATTTAATTTTATTTAGTTAAAATCCTGCTACATTTTACTTTATTTTCTTTCTTTAAAACTATTAACTTTTTGATTTGTTTAGCCAACTTTTGAGAAAATTAGATTTTGTATCAAGTTGAAATTTAAATTTAGAAGTTTGTCCCTAAGAACTCGTCTTTTTGACTATAACGTTCTGGTCTTTTAGTGTTAAATGTTCCACATTTTTTAAGTTAAAATCAGTCTTCTTCATCCGTTTTGTTTTTCTAGATGGATATTTCAATTTATTTCTTGTTTTTATTCTGGATACATGACCCAAGAGACGGCACACTGTGAGGAAATCTGATGAATAAAAAATATTTTTGTCTCTGATTTAGTTTCTGAAATAATGAACAAGATTAATAAATGGTGTGATACTGGATTTATTTCAGTTCAAAGGCTCTGTTTGATGCAATAAATACATGATGGTCACATTTAGACAACCTTTATTTGTTTGGAAAAGATGTTTGATGGAATCAGTCCAGATGTGATGAAGATAACCCAGAAGTCGACGTCTAAATCCTCTGGATCTCAAAGAGCCGGATGTCCGTGTCGTACCAGATCGGAGGATCCACGTTCCTGAAGCAAGAGGAAAACACTTAATCCTAAACTTTGATCCCTCGGCAAAGACGGGATGTTCTGGGTGTTTACCGAAGGTAGATGATGCCCCACATGTAGGTGCGGAACCACATGGCGGTGCCGGCGTTGGCCTGGTACTTCCTGATGAGGATGGGGTGAGGGACCGGCAGCAGGCCCACCAGCGTACCGTGCTGCAGGAACTTCAGGATTTCAGACTCGTCTGTCAGACCCCTGAAAGCAACAAAAGCACTCGTCTGATCCGAGGTTCTGATCTTCACACGTGAACGAGCTGCTCCAGGATCTACATCTCATCAGTGCTGGAATGTTAGCAGATTATTCGCTTCAAGCAGATAAAACCAGAAGATTCTTGTAAGTTAAATAAAATGTTTGTTTTTGCAGCTTCAGAGTTTAGAGTTCATTCTTTAGCAACAAAACCTCGGAGTGCACAAGTATTCACCCCCCACCCCCACCCCAGGGTCACGCTTTCAGGTTAAAAGTGGATCAGCGTCCTACTTGTCGATGCAGATCTTCTCCACCTGAGGAACCAGCACCTGCAGCAGCCTCATGATGGTCTGCAGAGGAAGCTTGGACTTCCAGGACAACATCTGCGGACAGGAAGAGGAGTCACATGACATGAAGCTGGACACAGATCAGCAGGAAGAACCCGCCCTCACCCAGTCCGGGTTGGCGCTCCAAGCTGCAGCCGACGAGACGCTGGACGCTCGACTCCTCGATGTCGCCGCCTGATTGTGGTCGACCTGACGACACAAAGAGACGCTCAGAAAGCAGAAGAACCGAACGAGTCCCATGAGAAGGCTGCAGTACCTGGTGGTTCCTCTCAGAGCTGGACTCAGCATCGCCAGCGTCGCCGAGCAGCATCGATGGAGGCGGAGCCACGGCAACCATGGTCCCATCTTCACTCACCTGAGACTTCTCCGTTATTTTATCGATTCCTAAAACAAACAAAACCTGCCGTTTCAGTCCACCTGGAACAGCTGAAATATAAACTACTTACAGCTGAATGATAAACAGATAGCAGCTGAAAAATATGCCTGCTAACAGCTGAATGATAAACCTGCTAACAGCTGAAAGATAAACTGATAGCAGCTGAAAGATAAACCTGCTAACAGCTGAATGATAAACCTGTTAACAGCTGAATGATAACCTGCTAACAGCTGAATGATAAACCTGCTAACAGCTGAATGATAACCTGCTAACAGCTGAATGATAACCTGCTAACAGCTGAATGATAAACCTGCTAACAGCTGAATGATAAACCTGCTAACAGCTGAAAGATAAACTGATAGCAGCTGAAAAATATGCCTGCTAACAGCTGAATGATAACCTGCTAACAGCTGAATGATAACCTGCTAACAGCTGAATGATAAACCTGCTAACAGCTGAATGATAACCTGCTAACAGCTGAATGATAACCTGCTAACAGCTGAATGATAAACCTGCTAACAGCTGAATGATAA